AAAATGAGTCTTTGTACTAGAAAAGAATTTGATTAGGATAAATGGATTTTTATTTTTCTTCCTTTGAAGCGATTTTCTGTATTATAAGTTGTGGAGAAGTAAAATATATTTAGTCCTTGGATATTTTCTTTACAATTATTTCCTGTATGATTGTATCTAGTATCATGCATTTAAATACTACATATAAACAAATCAGACCTCTTCCTTGATCCTTAGACTTGTGCAACCAGTTGCTTGTTTCCTCAGCATTTCCATTTAATTAGTTAATACACATCTCAAACTTAACATATCCAAAACAAAAGTTTTGATTTTCTTTTTGAAACTTCCTGCCGTAGTATTCCCTACTTTGGTGAGTGACCATATTATTCTGCCGTTTGATCAAACCAAAAATTAATTTAGTAATTTGTCTCTTTTACTCCATGTTTAAACCATTGAGAATTTCAGCCAGCTGTACTTCTCTCCACCTTCTACCTCTATGATCTAGTTAACCATAATCATCTTCCCCCTCCTAATTAACTTCCTTGCTTCTAACCTTGCCCTCCTGTAAGTCTGCCTAGCAGCCAGTGATTTTTTGTTTTTGAAACAGAGTCTAGCTCTGCTGCCCACACTGGAGTGCAATGGCATGATCTTGGTTCACTGCAACCTCCACCCCTCCGCATTCAAGCCATACTCCCTGCTACAGCCTCCGGAGTAGCTGGGATTACAGGCAACTGCCATCCTGCCCGGCTAATTTTTGTATTTTTAGTAGAGATGGAGTTTCGCTGTGTTGGCCAGGCTGGTCTCGAACTCCTGATCTCAGATGATCCGCCTGATTACAAGCCTGAGCCAGTGCGTCAGGCCAGAATTGATCCTTTTTTTTTTTTGAGATGGAGTTTAGCTCTTGTTACCCAGACTGGGGTGCAATGGCACGATCTCGGCTCACCGCAACCTCCGCCTTCTGGGCTCAAGCAATTCTCCTGCCTCAGCCTCCCGAGTAGCTGGGACTACAGCTACTCCATGCTAATTTTTTGTATTTTTAGTAGAGATGGGGTTTCACCATGTTGACCAGGATGGTCTCGATCTCTTGACCTCGTGATCCACCCGCCTTGGCCTCCCAAAGTGCTGGAATTATAGGCGTGAGCCACCGCGCCTGGCCGATTCTTTTAAAATTTAAGATAGATCTTGCCACTTTGTTGAGACCCTCCCAAAATTCTTACCTTGCCTAAAGGGCTTGTGTGAATTGTAGACCACTCCCTCTCTCCACCCATTGCTAGAATCTCATTCCCTACTACTTCCCTCTCCTATTTTGCTCCAGCTACAGTCATCTACTTGCTTCTCCTTACATGCCAAGCTGACTCCGCATCTTGGGCTGTGTACTTGATTACCTCAAAGGGAAATGGTCCCCTCTACTCACTAATGTTTCTGGTCAGATTACCAAATTTTACCTCTCAGGGAGGCTTTCTGTATGTAAATAATTAAGCCTGACTACATCACTGTTTCTCCCCTTATCTTGCAGCTTTTTTTTTTTCATACCAATTATGACTATGTGACATATTTACTTTTTTATGTATCTCTTTCCCAACTACAATGCCAACACTTTGAAACCAGGGATTCTTTATTGTTCACAGTTACTTCCTCAGAACCTAAGGCCATTTAGTTAATATTTATCGAATAAGTTGGTGAGCCTTAATATTTAAATGGAGAATATGATTTGATTTACATTATAATAACGGAATCAACAGAATAATGAGGAACCTTCTAATGGAGTCTGTTTTGTTTAAATCTTTATGTCATATTTTCAACATTCAACACAGATTACAGTTGTGTTTCGGAGTTAGGTTAATGCTGATAATACTCTTGGTGTCAAAATGCGGGGCCATATTACTAGCTTAAAGATTCTTTTTATGGAAATAATTACTTTTTTGTTCTTTTGACATAGACACCTGACCCTCAATTACATTAACAAACCTTATACACATGAATGGAAAGAAGAATAGCCCCTTTTGAGTTCATGCTAAGACTTTATCAATATGAAGTGCTTCCCACAGAGTTCCTCTGAAAGAACTGAACTTCCATAATAATGAAACTGCAAATTCATTTGTATATGTTCCTTTTATATTTGAAAGCTACTTTTTGATGTTTTGGTCTGCAATTAAATTTATTGATTAAGGTCACAAATATGCAATTGTGACTAGACCAAGTTGCTAGAATTCTTTTTCCTTTCAGCATAGCACAAAGATAAATGGCTGTCTTTTAACAATAACATACCAAAGCCAGAATTTGTTCCCAGATGTACATAATCTTTTATTCAATCTACTTCCTTCTGTTTTCCAGTCGATAGACCCCTCAACCTGCTTCCTTACCATCTTACCTATCTAGACTATGGGTTTTTTAAATTACTGCAAAACACTTTCATCAGATGGAAAAAGATAAGTTTAAACATTTTAATGCTGTAATTTTTCCATGCACATTTTATCTTTCCTTCTGAGTTATTTTGCCTTTACCCCTAGTCCGTGTAAGGTAGATAATTATGTTGTATGTTAGCTGAATTCTGTGGTTACATTTCTCACTGGTAACATGACCAGGAGGTAGATCACGTTGCTTAACTGAAATGAGTTTGTAAGTGTTTTTTTTTCTTCTTATAACAAAAATGGGATACATGTGCAGAAAGTACCGGTTTGTTACATAAGTATACGTGTGCCCTGGTGGTTTGCTGCACCTATTGACTTGTCCTCTAAGTTCCCTCCGCTCACCCCCCACACCCCAACAGGCCCTTATGTGTGTTGTTCCCCTCTCTGTGTCCATGTGTTTTCAATTTTCAACTCCTACTTATGAGTGAGAACATGTGGTGTTTGGTTTTCTGTTCCTATGTTAGTTTGCTAAGGATGATGGCTTCCAGCTTCATCCCTGTCCCTGCCAAAGGACATGATCTCATTCCTTTTTATGGCTGCAGAGTATTTCATGGTGTGTATGTACCACATTTTCTTTATCCAGTCTATCATTTATGGGCATTTGGGTTGTTCCAAGTCTTTGCTATTGTGAATAGTGCTGCAATAAACATATGTGTGCATGTGTCTTTTTAGTAGAATGATTTATATTCCTTTGAGTATATACCCAGTAATGGGATTGCTGTCAAGTAGTATTTCTAGTTCTAGATCCTTGAGGAATCACCATACTGTCTTCCATAATGGTTGAGCTAACTTACATTCCCCAACAGTGTAAAAGCATTTCTATTGCTCCACAGCCTTGTCAGCATCTATTGTTTCCTGACTTTTTAATAATTGCCATTCTTACTGGCATGAGATGATATCTCATTGTAGTTTTGAATTGCATTTCTCTGATGATCAGTGATGTTGAACTTTTTAAAATATGTTTGTTGGCTGCCTAAATGTCTTCTTTTGAGAAGTGTCTGTTATATACTTTTCCCACTTTTTGATGTAGTTGTTTTAAAACATCTCTAGGGATGTGGATTAACTTATTTTCTCAGATTCTATGCTGCCTCTAATACAAATATATATAATTTTGATTAAAATAGATTTCTTAAATTTTTATGCATTTCTTTTGTGACCTTTCATACAAAAGACATAGAGGAGGAATTGTCCTATTATATTTGAGGCCTAACCCTGTAACTAAGAATATCCAGTGTCTTTATAGATTTATTTCAAGGGATTTTGATAATAGATACTCAACACCGCCCCCCCCCCGCCTTTTTTTTGATATGGAGTCTCGCTCTGTCACCATGCCTGGAGTGCAATGATGTGATCTCGAATTGCTGCAATCTCCACCTTCCGGGTTCAAGTGATTCTTCTGCCTCAGCCTCCCACATAGCTGGGATTACAGGTGCCCGCCACCACATCCAGCTAATTTTTTTTTTATTTTTAGTAGAGACAGGGTTTCACCATATTGACCTGGCTGATCTTGAACTCCTGACTTCGTGATCCACCCTCCTCAGCCTCCCAAAGTGTTGGGATTACAGGTGTGAGCCACCGCACCTGGACTTCAAAAGCTCTTTGTTTAAGTTGATCATTCCTATAAAGAAAAACAAAGACATTGAAAAACAGCTGCTGGATGTTGTAAAGCCAGTACAGTAATGTCCCCATTTTAAGATCTTGTTTATATATATTTTTTGCAAATCTGAGAATCTTTTGTTTTCTTAATTACCATGTAATTTGAATCTTCCCCAGCTGAAGAAAGAAGACTGTTTCAGGAGGATGTATAAGAAAAAAACATAACTTTTAAAGTCAGACATTCCCCTCCAGCCCCTGAATTCTGGAATTCTGGCTGTTATTACTTTTGTGACCTAAGTTATTGCATTTTTTTGAGCCTCTACGTAGCAATGGAATAGAGAAAAACCTCTATTCATAGAGTTTAGTGATATGATTAAATGAGACAACACATATAAAGAGCTGGAAACAGTGCCCAGCAATAGTAAGCACTCAGTAAATACCATTTGGAATCCTCTCTTTCTGCTCTCCGCACCCCTTCATGCTCTGTGATCTGTTCTAATTGAGCTTAATCAGAAATTAAAACTGTTGAACTAAACTTGAAACCTTTTTGTGTCTGTCAACTCTATATTGTGAATAGTGTTCATTGACTGATTTAATAGGTAGGATGAAGTCAGGCCTTGAATTGATCTATATATAACACCCAACAGGTGTATTTCTTCTCAGCAAATTGGTCCCCCAGGGATTTGTAGACTGGAGAATGCTCTACTCCCAGCCCTCATTTTAAGTCCAGATGCAGATCTTAGATTTACTTGAGGCTCTCTTCAACCTGCCTGAGAGCTGAGCTCTAAGTACTGTTACTGTGACATAGGAAGGCATTATCATATTAATCATTTTTGTAAGGTAACTTGCTTCATTGCTTGTTGCTCTTTTGACCATTCATAATGTTTCAATTTTTGCCTTAAGAATTTCATCTTTTAAAACATTATTTTCAGAAAAAAAATCTAATAGTTATATAATATACTACTTATATCTAAAAATATGTTATTTTATGATCATAAATTCTTATTGTTTTAGATGCAAAGATGGTTTGAAAGGATTTACATTTTCAGCACTTAGGTAAGTAACATTTATTTTCATGTTGAGAGAGAATTTACAAGCTAACTTTAAAAATTATATATAATTAACAGTGACTATTTACCAACTCAACTTTTAAACTGAAAATAATTTTAGATTTAACAAAGATATTTCCAAGCCTGCAGATAGATAGCTCACTGAAAGAGTAATTTGTCAGACTTTTTTCCCCCTAAAAATTAATTAACTACTTCTTTTGGACCTATTGTGTGCTTTCTACTGTGGGTGTTAGAAAAGAAATGCAAGAACCCACTTCAGGGAGCTTGGAAGGACAGAGCTGCACTTGAACAATTATCGCAAAGTCAAGTATTTAATTGTGTGGTACCAGATTATGGATTTGCTTTAGGGCAGGACTCCGTGCACTGTCAAACAGATTCAATTTTAAGCATCACTAGAATCTTTTTTTTTTTAAACCTCATAGCTCATCTCTTAGCATAGCAATGGGCATATGGTATATACACTGTAGAAATATTGGTTAGCATTAGCATTATATTTTATAGTTCACCAAGAATTTTCACATAGATAAGAAAATTGAATTTTTGCGACAGTTCTGTGAGATGTGTATTTTTATGCCCATATAAGATGATCAAAAAGCCAAGGCTTAGAATATTTGACTAGTTTAACATCACACATGTTAACTACATATACTGACTCCCTACCCAGTGTTTGTCTAGTTTATATCATGAATGTGGCCTGTTTTGTAATCTATAAATTCTTTGGATTAGATGCTTGGTGAGATTAGTAGTATGGTTTTTACTACAAGTATTGGAGGGAAAAATTAGGGAAAGCTTCAGTACTTGCAAAAGTTTTTATATAATTGTCTTAAGGTCATTTTGAGGATCAGATGAGTTAATACGTGAAAAATATTTCAAACAGTGGCTGGCATATAGTAAGTACTCAGTAAATGTTGGCTATTATTTTTGTTACTATTCTCATAGATGATATGCCTTTAACTGTACTTTAAGGATAGCTCTCGGTAACTACAGGGAAGAGGAAGTGTGCTCTGGGTGGAAGTGAATAATATTAGCAAGAGAGTGAAAATTGTAAACATGAAGTACGAGGTAACAGTGAGAAAATGGACTTAATTGGTATGGAAAGTTTCTATTAGGAAATATATATTTTTATAATGTAGAATAGGGCCAGATCATGGAAGACCTAGGGATAAAGAAAGACAAACGTGGATTTGATAATGTCAGCAGTAGGGAGATACTAACACTTTTTGAGCAGGGTAGTTGACAGTGTTTCAGAAAGATTAGTCTGGCTGCAGTATTTGGGACATTAAGAGGAGAGAACCAGAAGATAGAAAGACAATAAGGACTAGAATTTGGGTGACAGTGGAAGGAAAAGAGAAGGAGAAAAAGGTTAAGACTTGCAATGAATGAAAATGACAACTAAAGTGCCTGGAAGAAGGTGCTATTCACAAAATCACATGGATGCAAGAACACTGGCTTGGGAGGGAACAAATGGAGTCTACTGTATGATATCTTTGGTTGTAAGAACTCTGTGGGAACAATAACTTTCTAACTCATAATACACAACAGTATTTTTTTTACTGTTATTTTGTGGTAATAGATCATGAAATTTATTAGAAAATAAAGTTTTTGTTATTGTTGTTACATTGACTAGAAAGCATTTTGTATTAAGTTTAAAATTGATAACAAAAACAAAAGTTAGGTTTTCAAAAGAAAAGGAAAAACTTAGTCTTGTTTTCCTGCATCTCCTTAGACTCCCAGAATTCTTACAAAAACTTAAAATATGTCAGATGGTTTTGTGTCTCTTCTTCAAATCCGCTTTTAACAAAGGGCTAGTTTGGACTATTTGCGCTTAAATTTTCTCAATATTATGGAAATATATTCTGGAAAAAAGTTTAAATTCTTCCTAATATTCTTGTTGCTAAAGCAAGAAAATTGTTAAATATCGTGAATTGTCATATATTTATTTGTATATCTCCTTCCACTAAGCAAATTCTGTTTCATTTTAGTTCTGTTTCATAACCAATCTGCAGTGTGGTGAATATGGATTCAAGAAATGTGGCTATTTCTTGAATTTATGGTGAATATGAACTCACCACATTGCAGATTAATTAATCTCAGACTTACAAAGTTGATTCTCAGAAGAATGTTACTAAAAGCCAAATGTATTTTTTATTGTTAAGTTTCATTGTCCAAAAATAATCTGAGTTAATGTATGTCCTTCTTGTGGGCTTTCAAAAAGTATTATCTGACATGTCTTTCCTGCTACCTCTTTGCAGTCCTGGCTGTCCTGATTTTTATTGCAGACATATGCTATAAATTTATAGCATGTCAAAAGTGCAAAATTTAATATTAATTACAAAGGGAAGTGGAAAGAAAAATGCCTATTGCAGTACAATTTCATATGACTTCCTGACAGTATTAAACTTTGGTGAGAAAAAGATACTCAGTGCTTGATACATTTGAGAATGGTGAGATTTAAATGAATACAGTCATAAAATGGCTTAACGAAGTTCTCATCTCATACAGATCATAATTGCTGTATCATGAAAACATACATTGTTCACGCAGAGGAAAACTGTCCTTTATCCACAAAGGACAAATATTTACAAAGTACACCGGTTTAATGTCTCCTAATTAGACATAGATTAAAAAGCTTTAAAATATTAAACTTTACTTCAGGCCAGGCACAGTGGCTCACACCTGTAATCCCAGCACTTTGGGAGGCCAAGGCAGACGAATCACCTGAGGTCAGGAGTTAGAGACCAGCCTGGCCAACATGGTGAAACCCCATCTCTATTAAAAATACAAAAATTAGCTAGGTGTGGTAGTGGGCACCTGTAATCCCAGCTACTTGGGAGACTGAGGCAGAAGAATTGCTTGAACCTGGGAGGCGAAGGTTGCAATGAGCTGAGATCACACTGCGCTCCAACCTGGTGACAGGGTAGGATACTGTCTCAAAAAAAAAAAAAACAAAGAAAAAAACCACTTCAGTTTAGCACCCTTTTAAAAATCACGTGTGTTAGTCTGATTCTCACACTGCTATAAAGATACTACTCAAGACTAGTTAATGTATAAACAAAGAGGTTTAATTGACTCAGTTCTGCTTGATAAGGGAGGCCTCAGGAAACGTACAATTATGGTGGAAAGCCAAGGGGAAGTTGTCTTCTTCACAAGTTGGCAGGAGAGAGAGAGAGCTAGCATGAGGAAGTGCCACACTTTAAAACCATCAGCTTTCCTGAGAACTAATTCACTATCATGAGAACAGCATGAGGGAAACTGCACTCATGATCCAGTCACACCCTACCAGGTCCCTCCCTCAACGTGTGGGGATTACAGTTTGAGATGAGATTTGGTTGGGAACACAGAGCCTAACCGTATCAGCACTCCTCAACAAGTGTGAGGTAATACAGGAGCTACAAAGCTAACATTCATTGATAGATATATTAGTATACATTTATTCTGCCCTGGGTCTTGTACTGTGTTGAGAATACACTGGGGAATGAGTCAGATATAGTCTCTGTCCTCAGAGAGGCCTTATGGTCTAGTGGGGAAGACAGTATTAATTATAATTGTCCCGAATGTTGCAAAAGACAAGGGTAGGTTATCTCAAGAATGTATTTTAGGCAGACCTAACCTAGTATTTTTCCCTAAGCGGTGGGTAGGAACAAATGGAGAGAAGAAAGCAGGAAAGCTGTACAAAATTACTTATAGACTAGAAAAACCCAAATGTAATAATAGAAGTTAAGGGTTCTACAATTCACAACTTAGTAATACTTTTTTGTCGTCGTGGGAATGGGCGGGAAGGACACGGTGGAAGGAAGGAGCATTTAAGATGAAATTTTAAAAGACAAGGGCCGGGCGCGGTGGCTCACGCCTGTAATCCCAGCACTTTGGGCGGCTGAGGCGGGTGGATCACCAGGTCAAGAGATCGAGACCATCCTGGTCAACATGGTGAAACCCCATCTCCACTAAAAACACAAAAAATTAGCTGAGCATGGTTGGCACGTGCCTGTAATCCCAGCTACTCAGGAGGCTGAGGCAGGAGGATTGCCTGAACCTAGGAGGAGGAGGTTGTGGTGAGCCAAGATTGTACTCCAGCCTGGGTAACAAGAGCGAAATTCTGTCTCAAAAATAATAATAATAATAAAATAAAAAATAAAAGACAAATAAGATTTTTAGTAAAGATATAGGGAAGAATGATTCAGATAAGAAGAGCAATACAAATGCATGGTTTATTTGGAGAATGTCAAGTAGTTCATTTAATTGTACATAATAATCGCTCCTATAGTGAGTATTTACACTTTGATATTATGTGCACTCACTCTGCAGCTGATACAGCTTTAAGCGTGAAGTTTGTATTTAATTCAGTAGGCCATAAGCCCTTGAAATTCTTTAAGGATATTTGTCGTCAGTTCAGATAGGCACTTTGGGAAACTTCCTCTGGAAGTTGTATGTAGGATGATTTGAAAATTATCTGTGTATATAGATAACAGTAAAAGTCATGAGAATAGTGTCAAGGCCACAACCACGGGAGAAAAGCCAGTGTCAGACTCTGAAGGGGGTGCTAGCCTGATTCATCATAGTTTAAAACATAGTTAGAAATATATGTAGTTTAGTGATTAGGAAACCAGACTTTAGGTCAGACAATTCTGGGTTCAAATAATTAATGATAATTTATTGGTTGTAGACAAGATACTTAACCTCTCATGGGAATTGTTACACCTATAGTGTTGTGATGAGGATTAATGATTCAATTAATATTTGTAAAAGGCTCAGTTGGCACTGTGCCTGTCATGTAAGATATGCTCAGAAACTGCTAGCTGTTATGATATTCATTCATTCAGTATGTATTAATTAAGTATTTACCATGTGCCAGACACTGTTCTAGTTGCTGGGATATAGCAAAGAAGATGTACATGGTCTCACAGACCTCACAGTTGAGTAGGGGTAGGCTGTTAAAATGGCACATACTTTACTGTACTGGGGGTTAATTGGGGTCTTCTAGCACAAAAGAAAAATCACTCACTTAATCTGGCCTAGGACAGGGTCAGCTTCTCCAGGGAAGGAACCTTTAATCTGAAATAGTCTCCTGGCCAAAATAGCAACAGTATTATGAAAGGTATAAGAGGAACTGTTGTATTTTTTCTGGCATAGTTCTACCCTTGTTGCTGGTAACAGCAGTATGGATCTTAAACTCTTTATGTACAAAAAACAGCTTCATTTGAACTGACAGCTACCAAAGATGCACAGCTGCCATCTGGTGACAGACAAACCCCTTGCATATCCCTTACGATTTGATAAGTTAGATATTTTACCAAAGTTGTCTGAACAGGATAGGTTGCAGTTGTTGGTAGTAACAGCTTTGTCTTTCTTTCTGAGTATTTACAATTCCATATTCTGTTTGTCACAGGTCTCAAATTACAGATTATTTTTTTTTTAAAGAGACAGGCACTTACTGTACTTGTTTTATTGCCTAGGCTGGAGTGCAGTGGCATGATCATAGCTCACTGCAGCCTTTAACTCCTGAGCTCAAGCAATCCTCCCACCTCAGCCTCCCGAGTAGCTGGGACTACAGGCCTACACCACCATGCCCAGCTGATTTTTAATTTTTTTGCTAAGGTGATGGTCTCATTCTGGTGACCAGGCTGTTCTTGAACTCCTGGCCTCAAGTGATCATCCTGTCTCGACTCCCATGATGCTGGGGTTACGGCTCCTCACTGTGCCTGGCTCAAGTTCCAGAATTTTAGTGTATTATTATTGATCCTGTTCTATCTGTATTTTACTATATTTTCTGAAACCTTGGAAGGTAGTATTGCCTTGGGAAAGCTTAGTTATTCTTTACATGAGCCTTGACTCTTACAGGATAGGTGTAAACAGTGACAGTGCAAACTCTGAGAAAGGATACTTCTTGAGGGATATCTAATGGTGATAGTATTTTCTATTCATTGACTTTGGAAAAATATAGTCTAGTTTTGATGAAATAGGAATGATATTCTTTTCTAGATACTTTGTTTTTCCAAAGAAAGTAAGTAGATTAGAATAACATTGACTTTCAGATTTTCTAGTGAAATAATATGAGGACTTAGGGAATCTTGACTGTTTTCTGATTCCTGTTCTATAGTGGCCTCTATTTGCATGTGTGTATACAGATGACCTAGTGTGCTCCAGCTGTTGATGACTCAAAGTGACATTAGGTATAAATGTTGAGTTTTACTGTAAATGAGAAACTCATTCAATTGTAACTATTAGCCAAATATAAGAAAAAATATATAATTTTTGTGATTTAATAATATCCCCAAGTCCACCTGTTTCTTTTGAAAAACTCTAAGCCATATGTTTAAAGAGCAGTGTCTTAAGTTCACGGGTACTTCAGCAAAGTGCTGTGCTATATTTTACTTGGTCAATTTGATTTTAAAATAACTGTGTTATCAACAAATGACTATTAAATTTTTTTGAGTATTAAGATTTTGAAAGTTATTTTTCTTCATAGGATGATTACATTTTATGTAAATTGTGAAAATACTATTTCAAATGATAAGATACTTGCAAAGTGTGTTTGTTTATAAGCGAAGTCTTTTTCTTTTTTCCATCACTGATTTTTTTTTTTTTTTAAGTGAAAAATGCCTCACACTGTGCTCTTTTCTTTAGGTTCATTGTAGGGAAGGAAGAAATTCCCACACATTCTTTTTCACCAGAGGCAGCATATGCAAAAGTGGAACAAAAGAGAGAGCAACTCGAGGAAAAACCCAGAAGAATGAATATGATTGGTCTACTCAGGAAACTTGTGGATTCAATGTGAGCTTTTCATCTTGATATTTTCACCCACTTTGTCACTGTTTCATATGATATTTGTACCATGCCAAGGTATTTTTGTTTTCTCTTCAGGTGAGGATGATCATTTTTCACCAGAAACTGTGGGTAGAATTTTGTAAAAGGCACACAATTGCAAGTGAATATTATTTATTATTTCTGGCAAGACTGTAGACCATCATATGCCTTTAAAATAGGCTTGAATGAAATTGGAATACTTTTGTATTTCAAACCAGGCAAAATTGCAGGAGGCTGTGATGGAGAATTTCAGGAAACTGATAAATATGTGCTGATTTAATGTGCCAAGTATGGAAAGAAGAAAGCAAAATTCCTGAGAAAAATTCAAGATTAAAGAAAAATAAGGAGCAAACCTTAAGTAAAGGATATTTTGTAAGAGTGACCATTTTTAGGCTTCTCAAACTGAAATGTTTTTATTTGTATATTATAAAAAGAAGTTTTCATACAAATTTTCATTTATGTTTCTAGTATAGATATTGAAGAAAATTAATAGTTTGAAATTAGATTATCTGCCAATAAATAAGATCTTGGTAGTGATATTTTAGAGAGGGTGGAATGAGTAGGCAATAAAGAAAGTTAGGGGATCAATTACAGCAAGGGTGTCCAACCCCTGGGCCATGGACCAGTACTGGTCCGTGGCCTGATGGAACCCAGCTGCACAGCAGGAGATGAGCATCAGGTCAGCGAGCATTACCGTTTGAGCTCCTCCTCCTATCTCATCAGCAGTGGCATGAGATTCTCATAGGAGCACAAACCCCATTGTGAACGGCATGTGTGAGGGATCTAAGTTGTGTGTTTCCTATGAGCATCTAATGCTTGATGATGTGGGGTGGAATAGTTTCATCGCAAACCTCCCCCTCCCCCACCACCAAGTCTGTGCAAAAATTGTCTTCCATGAAACCTATCCCTGGTGCCAAAATGATTGGGGATCATTGAATTATAGGAAACTGAGTTCCTTTAAGAAATTAGAGGCCAGGTGTGGTGGCTCAAGCCTGTAATCCCAGCACTTTGGGAGGCCGAGGTGGGTGGATCACGAGGTCAAGAGATCGAGACCATCCTGGTCAACATGGTGAAACCCCGTCTCTACTAAAAATACAAAAAATTAGCTGGGCATGGTGGCACGTGCCTGTAATCCCAGCTTCTCGGGAGGCTGAGGCAGGAGAATTGCCTGAACCCAGGAGGCGGAGGTTGCGGTGAGCCGAGATCACGCCATTGCACTCCAGCCTGGGTAACAAGAGCGAAACTCCGTCTCAAAAAACAAAAGAAATTAGAAAACGTATGTTTCACTCTTATTTTCCCTCTACCAGCATCGTAACTTTGGACCAGAGATTTAACCAATGTGCATTTCCAAGTTCTTATCTGTTAACTGGGGTTAATGATCTCTATTAAGGATTGCTGTGAGCATTAAATGAAATAACATCTATGAACTTGCCTGACATAAAATATGAGCACAGAGTGGGTACTGAAATTTTTATTGAATTTAAAGATTTTGTCTTCATCTTAACATATACCACATCTGGAAGATAACAGGGATAATTATGGTAGTTGAATTTAATAAACTAGTTCAAAAATAGGTATGGGTTACCTCAGTGGAGAAAAGAGAGAAAGGATCCTATTAATGGAAATAATTTCAACAGGGATCAGAGGGTAATGCAAAGAATGAATTACATGGGTGAATGATGCCTTGGGCATCTGAATTGATCATGTCATGGCAGAACATATCAGAGTAGCCTCAGTGGGCCCATTGGTATGAAAGCAGATGCAGAGTAATACAGAAGCAAAGCAAATAATACAGGAGACAGGCAGTCCATGACCTGGGAATCCATTTATATGAAGTGACTAAGAAAGCAGATGCAGTGTAATACAGAAGCATAGCAGATAATACAGGAGACAGGGAATCCATGACCTGGGAATCCATTTATACGAAGTGACTAAGAAAGACTAATTGACGGTACAGTTGATTGCAGGATTTAACTTCACTAGCAAAGAAAGTTTAGGCCAGGCATGGTGGCTTACGCCTATAAAACTTAACACTTTGGGAAGCTGAGGTTGGAGAATCACTTGAGGCCAGGAGTTTAAGACCAGCCTGGGCAATATAGCAAGACCATAAAAAATTTAAAAATTAGCTAGGTGTGGTGGCATGTGCCTGAAGTCCTAGCTATTCAGGAGGCTGAGGTGGGAGGATTGCTTGAGCTAGGAGTTTGAGGCTGCGGTGATCTATGATCATTATCATGCCACTGCCCTTCAGCTTGTGTGACAGAGTGAGACCCCATCTCTGGAAAAAAAAAAAAAAAAAAAAAAAAAAAAAAACCAAAAAACCAAAAGCAAAGGAAGCTTAGTGATTTCAGTATAGTTCTGGTAGCAATGGCTGAGAAATGTCTTTGAAGGGGACACTTAGAAGTGTGAAGAGTGATGGCTTGCATGAGGCAGTCCTTCTCTTATTTGCTGCTTTTCAGGCCTCCAGCTTTAATCACTCAGCAACTTCACATGGCCAGATATGCCTTATCATTCTTATGATAGAAGGGCTATGGCCAGTATGAACTGAATTGCCGCTGTCATCCTTGACTAGGAAAGGCTGTATGCTCCAGCTGTTGTGCAGAATTGGATTTCTGTAAAGGTCTTGCTAATCAGTTTGCGAATGGGATTGGAGAGGTGCAGAGCAAGAACACTGCTCTACAAGTTATTGTTATAAACCGGAAAACATTCATGTGGTTCAACCATGAAAATAATTAGCTACAGTATGAAAGAAATTATAAAGACTGCTTATTTTGGAGCATGAACGCTCAGAGAGCTAGACGCATGTTAGATATTCTTAGATATTCTCTTACTTTTTTATGCCTAGGGGGAATAAATAATCTTGGATTCAACATATTAAATAATTAAAATGAGTGCATCTTGAACAGTAGTCCTCACAGCAGAAATATTTATTAAATACTAGAGGGTTAAGTGGTTTACAATTAAATCACAAATTACCTACTTTTGAATTACCATATGATCTCTATTTCTATATTTATTTCAACTGAATTTTGAATATTAATACTATATCATGTTTCTTTTCCAGATGTTTTCTCTCAAACTGAATTAAGTATAAATTCCTGTAACCTGAGCGTATTCTCATTATGACTTTTGCTCAAGTACTGACTTCATGGATGATTTATTACCATTTTACTCTATAATAAGCAATTTAAAGTTTCCAAAAGACTTGGCAGAGTATATACATAATACATACATTTTTTTCATATTTAATCACAAATACTTAAGAGTGTGGTCTCTCTATTCTACATTCAAGTATTTTGACTGCAGTCAGATATTTTATACAATGTGTCAAATGGTAAGCAGCAAATTTAAAAAAGCAAAAATATCTATTATTCTTGCTTCTGTATGTCCTAAAACATCAAAAGTGACACACGTTTAGAAGTAAGTGAGTAATGTTTTCTTTTCTTTTTCTTTCTTCTTTATTTCTGGTTAGAAAGCTTTAGACACATCTACAAACATATACAAACATATGCATATATACACTTTAATTATAATTAGTTTAAATTTTTTTGGTTCAATTTCAGATGCAAACATGGACCAAGGCATAGATGTTGCAAACATTATGAAGATAATTGCATCTCTTATTGCATTAAAGTAAGTATAATAAAGTATGTACTTTCTTAACAATAGGGAATGGGTATAGAAATAACTTATTTATTTAGAAATAATTCAAAAATAAATGGAAAAGTTGACAATAATTGCTGTCATTCTTTGAATTTGACTCCAAGAGTGAGAAATTTATGACAATAAGTGACAATTTAGCTTTCAATATTCACTTATCAGATCCTTAAATAATTTAAAAATTAGCTTGTTTAAAAATTGGCTTATTTAAAACCTATGATATAGAAGATAAGATGGGATAACAACAAGGAAACATAAAATCATTAAAATTTGTACTTTGTAATGTGTCCTCATTAGAACTACATCCTAGAACAAGACCCCCAGACTGTACTGTGTGCTAGCTGGATCAGCACTCACACACATACACTGTATACAATGTGGCACAGCAGCATTTAGATTTGGACTTGTAAAGCTATTACTTTTTTTTTTTAAGACATTGAGGTAAACTGGAGAATGTCCACAGTTGTTCTGCATTAAGAGAGCTAGCTATGCCCACTGGTATGAATTCCCGACTCCCTAGTGGATCTGTGTACTAGTATGTCTCTCCCTCCTCCCTGCTGTTGTGCTGTCCCTCCTCCCTTCCCCCATCACCACCACTTCTGCCAAGAAAGTTATTTTCTTTGCAGTTAGCATGCCACAGGTGGCACCACCTGCTGCAGGTTCCTTAGTTGTTTTTTTTTTAAGACAGTCTCACTCAGCTGTCCAAGCTGTAGTGCAGTGGTGCGATCTCAGCTCACTGCAACCACCATCTCCTGGGTTCAAGCAATTCTCCCATCTCAGCCTCCCAAGTGGCTGGGATTACAGGCACCTGCCATCATTCCTGGCTTATTTTTGTATGTTCGTAGAGATGAGGTTTCACCATGATTGGCCAGGCTTGTTTTAAATTCCTGACCTCAGGTGATCCACCTGCCTTGGCCCCCAAAGTGCTAAGATTACAGGCATGAGCCACCACATCCAGACAAGTTCCATAGTTTTGAATGGTGCTCTAACAGTTCAATGCTGTAGAAAGTTTATGTTCTTACAAGTTTTAGTCTCTACTTAGGTGATAACAAGAAGAGCAGGACAGCCCCTTTATGGTTACTCTAGAAGGAGGAACTGTCCCACATTGCTGTTCATGAGGGTAAACATCTGTGGCCCAGTGTTGTTGGTGCTATTTGCCCAGACCACGCTTAGCTTCACAGTTCCCCAAAATGACCAAGGATAAAGCAGTAGAGTTTTGTTTTGTTTTGTTTTATTCAGTGTGCAATACTTTCTGGTACACTCTTTCCAAATTTGATTTTCTGCCTCAGTTTAAAGTGCCCCCCTGCCCCCACAAAAAAAGTAACATTGCTGGCAGTTCAAGTCAGCTGGTACCTGGATTTATTATTTCTTCCAACTGAACATGATTGTAGTTCTAAGGAAAGCTTTAGATGGGGAACTAATAGAAGTATTTAGATTAAATCAGAGGTATTTGGGAACTTTGGAGTAGGGGGAGTGATATTAAAAAAATTATTTGAGAAAGTGAGAATTTCCAAGCAGTAAAAAAACTAGTGATTCTTTCAAATGTGTACCAGTACTGTAAACTTGGCAATTATGTATAAATTGGAGTACTGTATTATACCATGAATATAAAACTATCTGGAGACCCGTGGGTGAGGAATTTATACCATAAACATGGTAATGAAATTTCTTGACAGTGCACCTCATTATTCCACAGGCTTAATTACACTATGTGTTAAATTTACATCCCTGAGTAAATATTCATGTTAATGACATTGCCCTCAACATGCTGTGCTTTATTCACACTAACATTTTCTTGGTTCCTTATACCTGCCAACCTCTATATTGGCTTTATGTTTTCTGTCTGGGCTGTCTGAAATGTTTTTCTCATGCTACTTCTTCTTTTGGGTTTATTTAAATGTCACATCATTTACATGTCTGCCATTAACATTTAATCTAATATAGATTGCCCTATTATGTCTATCCTAGTGTCTTACTTCCTTCATAACACTTATTATAATTTTTTATGTTTGTTTACTTAGTTATTTTCTTTTCCACTAATGAGCATGAAAGCTCCATGAAGGCAAGGACTCTGTGTCCTCCTCTTCTCTGTTATCCCCAACATCTAGTGTAATGTTTGCCACATAACATTCAGCAAATATTTCCTGAGTGCATTAATGAGTGGATGAATAGTTCTCTTGAAAATAGCATGAAAAAGATTGTAATGTAATTCTAATCCCTAAATCCTTAGATTATCATTATAAAGTTATCAATGGCAACATTAAAGTGTGACCATTTCATGCATTTACAAATACTAGGCAATTTCAGTTAAGTAAGTGCTTGAGAATTCACAGTAATTGATTGGACAATTTGATTTTATGTTTTAATAAGGTATTAGATATTTTCAGGTAAATTAACCAATGTTTCCTCATAGTAATTAAATTATTTCTAGAAAAGAAAACTGCAGTCCAGAAAATACAAACCTGACTTTTGGGCATGTGCTGCTAAGAACAGATATTTTCCCATTCCAGTCAGGGTAGAGTGGAGGAGGATGGGACACCAGTATTAACAATGTATTGGTTGGATTGTATAGAAAATACTATTTTTTTGGGTTAATGTTTTGTGCTAATTGGAATTTTTCACTCTCAATATTAATGTTTAATTTTTAGTGTCTCATACATCTAAAATTCATCTTTGTAAATATGGAAATGAAATTGACCAATAATAGTCATCCTCCCTAGATCTCTTTTGCACTATGGACAGTTGATAGAGAAATGTTGACAGCAAATATAGATTTGTAGTGGGTTAGGTTTTTCAAGTTTAGTTTAATATACCTTAAAGCTACTATTATCTAGAGATGTTTTAGCCTGATGTTTAGTGGAGCACAGGAATGAAAACCTAGGTATAATTCCGTACCCCTCGCCCCCTGGAAGTTCTTCTTACCTGACTATTTAAAAGTTAGCACCAAAGGTCTGAACAAATAATGAAAATATTTTTCTGCGAAAATAATCCCTACTCATGCTAATCCTTAAAAACAGTCTTCTGTTAAAATTTTCAAGAGCATTTGGTTTAAGTAGTTTTTGTAATGTTAGTGCTTTTTGTATCTAAAACTCATTCGTGGTTTAGGAAGTGCTTTTGTATCTAAAACTCATTTGTGGTTTAGGAATTTAAAATCCTGGTTATTGTCAACAAAATGTCAAGAAATGGAATTTTGGTGCATAGGCAAGCTTGGACAGTGCTTGTGAGACTTTTTAAGTCTTTGTAAATCAAAGAAAGTAAACTCACTCCAAGATTTCACCCTTATTTTTAAGGTAATTGTTTTAAAATTATGCTTGAGGTTTTAAGGCTTTATTTTGAAAATTGCTGTGCTATAAACTTAGATTAAATTTGTTTTGTCTTGTTTGTGTTTTGAGATGGCAAAATTCATATTCTATCAGAAACTTCAAAATTTGTTTGTAAATCAGATTTTCCTCCCAATTTCCTCTAGGGTTTCATCAGAATGTTTAGTGTGGGGTACTTGATCCAGTGCTGCCTCCGAATCCCCTCTGCATTTAGGCATCTGTTTACACAGCCATCCCGGCTAATTTCTCTCTTCTACAATAAAGAAAACTTCCAGCTTGGAGCTTTTCTTGGCTCTTTTGTTAGTATATACAAGGTAAGGCTTTTAGAAGAGGAAAGAAAAATGGGAAATAAATAACATGGCTATTGTTAGAATTAGAGATAGCCTTAGTTCACTTATTTTTTAATGCTTCTTTCTGAACATTCATAAATATTTTGACATAACCAAATATATACAATATATTGGGAAGTAAGGATGGAGAAATTTCTTCTTTTAAAATATTATTCAATATACTTGAATGCATGGAGATGTTTGCATTTATGTATAGTATTAAACATTGTCAGACTCGTTCAATACATAGACACTCAGGAAATATGAATTTTTTTGATATTTCCAACATCAAAAATGATATAAGTATGCCTGGTTTATTTGTTTTTTTTATCATATTTACTGCCTGGTTATTAATGTAAGCATATTTCAGACCTTTGTAGTGGAAGTCAACACTTGATAGAATCTGTGAGCATTTGCTGTTGTAACTTACATAAGTAATGACTTATGTTCCTTCTTCCACCCACTCACATTTCTTACTACACTGTCTCACATAACCAGAATTCACAGTCTTCTACCCCATTCTGTATGTTCCTATAAAAGTGCCCACACGTATGTAAGCCCACACCTAAATATATATGTAGAGATCAATTTTAACCTACTACTCTGCAACTTTAAGAGACTGGCTTTTGTATAATGGAATCACTAATATGTAAATTATATTTTATTAAATGTTTAAAAGATTCTACATCTAAATATAGTTTCTAAATGGTAAAGTGTGTTAATTAAAGTTGACCTAACACATGGACATAAAGATGACAACAGAAATCACTGGGGCTTACTAGAGGAGGGAGGGAGGGAGCAAGGTAAGGACTGAAGAACTAGTGCCTGGGTAATGGCATCAGTCATACCCCAAACCTCAACACCACACAATGAACCCCTGTAACAAATGTATTCCTCGAATCTAAAATGAAGGTTGAAATAAAAAAAAGAGGAGATTAGAACACAGGCACACACAAAAGAATGACCATATGAGGACACAGGGAGAAGGTGGCCATCCGCTAGCTGTGGAGAGAGGACTCAGGAGGAGGGAACCTTGAGCATGCCTTGATCTTTGAACTCCCAACCTGTACGACTGTGAAAAAAACAGATTTCTGTTTTTGTTTTTAATCTACAATCACAAATTGCTCACTTTTGCCTTAATTTTACTCTATAAAAGATATGTGTTTTGAGCACTGGGATTGTGTCTCATTTTGCAGGAACATGCAGCAGGTATTCCAATATGTCTGACTAATAAATTAGGGATATTAAAGGGGTGTGCATTTTTTTGTGTGTACAGTGTGTACCCTGTAATGAGATTTATCTAATCTTCCCTCTGTCTACAAAATAATTATAAATATATTTTTTATTCACACTTTATTTCTTTGACTGAGCTTTGATATATATTTTAATAAATATATTGAAAGACGAATATATATTCTGTGTGTATATATGTATATATATACCTACACAATACACACTCTTTGTTGTTAAACTCAAAGAAAATCAATGGGAAAACTGAATTCTGGAGTTATTTAGGGTAACGTGGTCAGTGTCATTTTCTGTACAAATTTACTCATAAAAGGTAGGTATGGATAAAGTATTTGGAAATGGAAAGGAGGAGTCATAAACTATAGATAATGAATCACTTGTTATGAAATATTACTAATATTAAAAACATGTTCAATATGGCTTGACTAGGAAGCATTACTAACATATTTGAATATACAAGAGTTAAGGGCAGATTATTGGTAGTTGCATGTTTATATTCACATTTTAAAAAATGTCTCATGTTATAGTGTTTGTATTTATTCTTCACATAAACTCCTAACTGTTCAGATGTGGATTATCGCCAACATTTTTAGCCCCAAGTTGGTTATTCTCCACCATCTAGCATAGCTCAGAGTGTGTTTTGTTTTGCTTTTTAATTTTTCATTTCTGTTACTATTTATGTAGGTAATACAAACAAATGGTATTAAACTAAGGAAAATACTACTGGGTCAAAATATTTCAGAAAATATTCATGTGGTGTGTTCAAAAGCTGTATGTGATTTTTCAGAAACAAATTATCCATGCCATAGTATCTTTGTAAGAACGTTGAGAGAAGGGAGGGCAAACACACCTTGTTTTTTCTGTTTCTTGGTGAACTGACCCCTTTAAAAAAATTTGTAAGGTTCCTCTTTATCCCTGTTAATATTCCTTGTTTTATAGTCCATGTTTAATATTAATATAGTTACTTTAACTTTTTTTGATTAGCATTTGATGTCATAATGTTTCTATTCTTTTACTTTTTCTGTTTTCATTAGAAAAACTGGATTCTTTTAGGCTGCATGTAGTTGGCCCTTTCTTATAGAATCTGATAATCTCTGTCTTTTAATTGGCATGTTTTTACTGTTTACATATAATGTATTATACTTATGATGTGGCTGAGTTTAAACCTACTTTTATGCTAGTTGTTTTGTATTTGTTCCTTTTCTTTTCTTCCTCCTTTTTTATTTTCGGCCTTTTGGTTTGATCATGTGTTTTACTATGACTCCCTTTCAGTCTTCACTATTGCTTCATTATTTATACGTGTTCTAATTTAGTGCTTTCCTTAACATTTTATAATATACATTTTCAATGTATTGGCCAATCTTCAAGTAATGTTATATTACTTCACATATAATATAAAAGCTTACAACACTATACTTTCAATTTCTCCTTCCCATCCTTTGTTATAGGATTTAACATTTATTATTTACCTTTATGTATGTTATACACTCCACAATATATTGTTGCTATTTTTATTTTAGATCAGGGGTCAACACACTTTTTCTGTGAAGAGCCAGATCATGACTATTTTAGTCTTTGTGACCATATGGTCTCTGTCATAACTACCCAGCTCTTCTGTTACAGTGTGAAAGCAGCTATAGACAATATATAAATGAATGAGTGTGGCTGCATTTCAGTAAAACTTTATCACACTAAAGTTAGAATTTTATATAATTATTACATCACTAAATGTTGTTATTCTTTTGATTTATTTAGGACTGTAAAATTACTATTAGCTCCTGAGCCATATAAAAACAGGTGGCAGGCCAGATTTGGCTAGTGAGCCATAGTTTGCTGACCCCAGTTTTAGATAGTTAATTCACTTTTAGTGCAAGTAAAGATAAGAAAAATATGTCTTCTGAATTTACTTTCACTTTTCTATTTCCAGAACTCTGCATTTCTCTTTATAGTTATAAATTTTATAAGTTTTTGTCTGGTGTCATATTCCTTCTGTATTTAAAATTTCTGTGAGCTCAGATCTGCTGTTGATGGATTTTCTCATATCTGGAAAAAGTCTGTTTCACCTTCAGTTTTGAGAAATCTTTTCTCTGCCAGATTTGTAGTTTAGCCAGCTTTTTTTCTTGTTAAAATGGGATGGTTTTCCCAGCATTTGATAGCTAGGCAAAAGTGAAATTATGGATTTGTTTTGAAAAATCAGTACAATAAAAATATTATGTGTTATTTCTTAATAGAGTCTATACAGAGTAACAACTGTATAAAATATTACTGTTCACAATTTTTCCAGTCATGTATTCAGTTTTATTTAGATAAGATCACTAATTGGCCTGCAAGGTAATTTGATGAATTTATTCATTGTAGCTTTTTTATTTTTTGTATTGTGCTATTTTTCTAGAAATAAAATAACTGAAATCATTGTATTTTCTCCTTAACTAGGGTACTAGTTGTTTCCTGCGCTGGATCAGAAACTTAGATGATGAACTACATGCTATTATAGCTGGTAAAGCAATAATAAAAAATAAATGGTTTTTATTGTATTAATCAGTGGTAGGAATGAATCAGAAATACCATCCAATTCATCCAATTTCTATGAATCTTCCTTTCTCTATTGTAATAGAATCCCAGTTGAGGCACTTGTCGAAATACTTTGTGATGTTTAACATATCAAGGCACTGTTGCCATATGGTGTTTTGAGTTGGCAGTATAATGACTTAGGTATCTGTCATGCCATAGACCATAAATCCTAGTGAATGTATCTCAAAAGACATCTAGTGAATGTGTCACAAAAGAACGTAAACCCTTATAATACCATATAAGTGATTAATGAAGTTTAGGTAGATTTCATTGAAAATTCTATTTTTACCACTGAAAAATGACATATATTTTCATAATAACTTTTTAAGGGAACTTAATCATTTTATTTAAAAATCTAAATATTATTTTCTATAAGTGCAATATATGTATTAAATTAAGTAGATAACATATCAGGCATTTATTAGGAATAATCTTAGTTATTTGTATGTGACACCTCCCCTCTTCTCCCTGCCTTGGTTTTCCATTTATAGAATAAAAGCTGTGCTATGGAGAGAAGTATTATCATAGCACTAAAAATTATTGGAGCTATTTAATATTAGAAGAATAGATGAATAAATATTTCTGCTTAAAATCAGAAATAACCAAGAGCCTTTGAAAAGTTGTTTTTTAAAAATTGTATTTGGTAAGACCACTCCTTTTTTTAAAGTTAAAATATAAATGTAAAAGTTCTTGTTATACATAAATCAGAACTGTTTATTTCTAACTCTGAAGATCAATTTTTAAAATGTAAAAATATGCAATAATAACTCACCCCATTTTAACATCATCTAGTGTAGTACTGTCCTTGATTGTGTTGTAACAAGAGGTAGTGCTGATTCTTTCTATATAAGTGAATTAATATTTCTGATAACAAAATAACAAAGAAATACTTTGCCATCTGATCAGTTATTTCTTGTTTCAGGATTTTTGGCAGGTATATCAATGATGTTTTATAAAAGCACAACAATATCCATGTATTTAGCATCCAAATTGGTGGAGGTAAGTGAAATTTTTATGCATGAACAGTTCCAAAGAACATAAAGATTTTAACTGCTGTTTTAGCAGCAAATATATATCCCAATGGCAAACATAAAATTTCATTCTCTAAAAGTATTTCTAAAGTCAATTCCCCTGTTTTTCTTTCTTTGTGTGTGTATTTTCAAATATACATTAAGTGTAGAAAGAATAGTGTAATTAATCCTCATGCACCCATCATGCAGCTTCAACAGTTATCAGCATTTGGCCAATCTCCTTCCATCTATGCTCCTTAACCCCACAGGTACTGAGTTATTTTAAAGCAAATCCCAGACATTATGTCATTTCATCCTTTAAAAAACTCAGCATAAAGACTCCTTAAAGAGTAATGACTAAAGGCTTCTTAAAAACAAACAAATCAACGATACCACCAAAATTTAACCACAGTATCATTATCATACATTAAAACCGTCCCAATAATTCCATAGCAATGTAATATATCCAATTCATTGATTATCTTGTAATCTTTTTGCAATCACTTTATTTTAATCAAGTTCTAAACGAAGTTTCTTTTAGTTTATAATAGTTATCCCCCTACTACTGCTGCTGCTGCTGCTATGGCTTTTCCTCCTCCTCCTCCTCCTCTTCCTCCTCCTCCTCCTCCTTCTCCTCCTCTTCCTCCTCCTCCTCCTCCTTCTCCTCCTCTTCCTCCTCCTCCTCCTCCTCCTTCTCCTCCTCCTCCTCCTCCTCCTCCTCCTCCTCCTCCTCCTCCTCCTCCTCCTCCTTCTCCTCCTTCTCCTCCTTCTCCTCCTCCTCCTCCTCCTCCTCCTCTTCCTCCTCCTCCTCCGTCTTTCTCCTCCTTCTTCCTTGACAGTAATATTTGTTGAAGATATAGGTCATGAGTTCATGGAATTTTCCAAGTTCTGGATTTTGCTGATTGCATCCTCACTGTTGTTATTAATCATGTTTCTTTAAATCATGAATTTCTTAAATTGTTAACTAGATCTTGAGGCCTAAGTGAATTCAGGTTTAAATTTTTTTGGGGAGGTAACAGACAGACTTGACATTTACTGTGTATGTGAACTTCCAATTGCATCACATGATGAAGCACAAAAATGTCTGGTTGTCTTTCTGTAATGCTAAGATTGATCAGTGGGCTTAGATGATAGAGCCAGCCTAAGGTTCCCCAGTAGCCTTTTAGCTAGTGGTTTGAGCTGCTGTTAATGATTATCACTGGGATTCATTATCTCATTAAGGGTTGAAAAATGATGAAAATACTATTATTGTTTATTCTGCATTTATTAGCTGAAATTGTTCAAAAGGTGTTTTTCCTTTTCAGCTATTTGGTTACTCTGAAATATGTTGTTCCAGAAAGTCAAAATAAAATGTTTGATTGCTTCATTTTAATTATTAGTGTTTAAAATGAGTTAGTACCTTAGCATCCTGCAAAGTTGACTTATGAGTCTTTATTTTTAAAGTATTTAAAAATTTAAATTTAATATATTTAATTTATCTTAACTCATTGCAATTATTATACTCAAATTGTTCCCATCTTTGTCCATGAGCGCTTCCTTAAGTTGACTCCTGCTTGTTTTAACATAACACCATTATCTTTGATAGCTTTCTTGCTATAAAACAATATATTCCAGGCTCATCTGGGACATTTTCTGCCTCAGACATAGAATCAGTGTTCTCTATAATGGCTGCTAGTTTGTTTTAGTGGAAAATGGTATTTTAAGATTTCAGTTCAGGTGCTAGAGATTCTTTGCTCCCAGGCTAGTTATTGATTCTTGGCTTTCCCAGTGAATGCAGCTAGAGAATCTCCCTCCCCTTTCTTTTTAGAGAGACAGAAAATACATTTGAAGCATATTGATGTTTGTAATTCAAAGTTAAGAGTATACATTTTATTTAACTTGTTTAATTACTTGCTTTACCCAAATGTGTGTGTGTGAGAGAGAAAGAGAGAGAGATTGAGAGAATGTATACATCAGGAAATCAGGAAGAGAGGCAGGAGCTGGATCATGTAGGATTTTAAAAGCTGGGGTAAAGATTTTTTTTTTTCTCAGTGCACTGGAAACCACTGAAGAGTTTTAAGCATGGAAGTGACAGGATTTAATTCACATTTAAGAAGAACATTCTAGCCATTATATAGAGGGAGGCAGGACCAAAGCTGAGAGAACAGTTAGTTTCTGTCAGGAGATGGTGGCTTACACTAGGATGGTAGCAGTAGAGGTGAGAGAACTACACAGATTTGGTGTGTGTTTAGGAGCAGGGTTGATAAGACTTGCTAATGGAGGGGAAAGGGAAGTGAGAGAAAGAAAATAATCCTTAGGTGGCAAAAATATATTCTTTAACACAGAAGAAACCAATATTGAGATCTAGTTTATTAAAAGTCTTTTACAGGCCATGCGTGGTGGCTCACGCCTGTAATCGCAGCACTTTGGGAGGCCAAGGTGGGCAGATCGCAAGGTCAGGAGTTTGAGACCAGCCTGACCAACATGGTGAAACCCCATCTCTACTAAAAATACAAAAATTAGCCTGGTGTGGTGGCATGTGCGTAATTCCAGCTACTCAGGAGCCTGAGGCAGGAGAATCTCTTGAACCAGGGAGACGGAGGTTGCAGTGAGCCGAGATTGCGCCACTGAACTCTAGCCTGGGTGACAGAGCGAAACTCCGCCTCAAAATAAAAAGGTGTTTTACAGCTAAGTGGCCAGAGTTTTTTAAGGCAAGCAATGGTATCTCTCTGTTTCTTGTGTCATCAGGTCATATCTGATCCTGGCACACAAAAAAAAATTGACATATAAACTGTGCTGATACAGACTGTTTTTTTTTTTTTTAAAAAATAGGAATATTAGAAATTTGAGCATGCTATGTTCTTTTATGGAATTCATTGCTCTATTGCTCTATGATTGAAGTTTTATATTAAAATGCTCTATTACTGTCCAGGGAAAATGATATAAAATTAAGCTGTATAGGCCATTGTTTTCTGGGAATCTATGAGCCAAATGCATGTATTTATTTAGTATATATTATGTTCTCATTACTGTGCTTGGTACTGGAAAGAATATAGAAGCATAGGATATGGTGTCTATCCTTCGTTAACTTAGAATCTGGTTTGTTAAATAAATTTTATAATAAATAATTAGAAACACAGTTATTCTATCTATTGGGAAATAGCTGTTTCACATAACATTTCTGTGATGCAGTTCTGCCACAATCTGAATTAAATGTTCTTCAACATGAATATATCTGCACAATATATCTGTATCTTGCAATATGCTGTTATATTTTTATCAAAATAATGGCCAATGCATAATTGTTTATCTTGTTTCCAAAATAGTTTATAACTCAGTACATACCTTACAGTTCTCATAAATCCCACTCTCATATACATTATGTACATTTACTCCTTAATATATACTTTTGAGTCGATTTGTATGTAAAGTATTCACCTTATCATTTTCTTTGTTTGCTCTTTGGTTATGGCAGCTTATATAGATCATGAGGATTCTTTTTATGGCAACTCAGTTGGGATACAATTTAAAAAGAGTCAGATTTACTTAGCAAATATTTTAATGCCATGGTCTAGGGTAGGCACTGAAGACCATGCAAAGTTGAAGAACAGAAGGTTGTTGCCACCTGCCAGTGACTTCCTTTTAGTTCTCATCCTCTTTATGTTCTTTTTTTTGTGAAGAATAGTGCCCAGCATGTCGTTGACACCATTAAATCTTTCCTGAATAAATTAATGAAGGACAACAGATCTAACAGGGAAGGGAGTACATGAGCACTGTACAGAAAGCATGGAAGAATAAGTGACATTTAAAAAGCAGAAATAAAATGCTATTGAATTTACAGAAAAGTATTACTACTTGCAGTAGGGATTTGGAGCGAAACAATGAGGGAAAAGGAAGGGTTGACCCTTAACATCATTATGAAAAATGTGACATGTTTTGAGCTCTGAAGGCAGTATTAGGATTCAGAACGGTGGAAAACATAGTTGTAGGCAGGGAGCACAATGCTCAACTATGTTTTTAATGCTGAAGTTTTTATAACTCTTGTCTAATGCTTGTTTTGCAGACAATGTATTTCAAAGGCATTGAAGCAGGGAAGGTTCCCTATTTTCCTCATGCAGATACTATCATCTATTCCATCTCTACAGCAATTTGCTTCCAGGCAGTAAGTATAGCTTTTTCAAATGAGAAATTGAATGATTCCTGTTTCTGATGTACATTAATCAAATGCGGGAAAAACAAACTCTGGGAACATTTCAGTTTACAGTATTGCATTTTAAGCTTCCTTTTGTTTTTGTGTTTTTGGTTTCTTCAGCAAGATACCTTACAAGCTTCTAATGTTTAAACATGTTAACTTAATGGGCTAGGTCCTTTTTATGAGTACCCCAATTTTTAGGTTTTAATACAGTACAATTTATAAGTAAATTATTATTCCAATCCCTTGGGAAGAATGTCCCAATTTAATTATCCTTCCTTTTGATTACAAAAAGGATAGTAGGCATATGCTGATAATAGGCATAAATATAAATAATTGCATTTCTCCAATATTATTCAGAAGGAGGATGAGGGATAACTAGTTTCATATAAGCATCATTCAATCTCTCTAAGTTCTGTAACCATTATTATTGACATTAAAGGTGTTAGGACTGTTGTAAAATTTTTGGAAAAACTTTTATTTGCTCTTTCTCACAAAATGCTGCCAGGTTGAAAAACTAATTAAAATTAATAAAATGTGAATATCTCAGTAAATGCTTCCTGATAATGACTGTTCACTTAATTATTATTTCAAAAGCAACATTTTTATTTGAAGGCATATTTACAAAGATTCTTGATGGTTACTTAAGCATCAATACACTTTCGCGTATTTCATCACTTTCAGTTTTAAAATGCAATGAGCAATAAAGATACAGGTAAAACTATTCTATTGCCTGAGACTGCTGATAATGTTTGTATTTACTAAAAGAATTCTCAAATTGAATAATCATAGGCTGTCATGGAAGTTCAGACCTTGAGACCTTCTTACTGGAAGTTCCTTTTAAGACTCACCAAGGGCAAGTAAGTGACTAAGCAGTTTTTTTGAAAATATTACGAGTGGTTTTATCCTTTTGAGGGAATATTCTTTCAGTGGTAAAGTAGGTATTTATGTATAAATCAAATATGAGCAACTTAAAGAATAATATGGGGTATTTTTTGAGTGAGCATTATTCTGACTATACTTTTCCCTATAATATTATAGATATTTTAGATAGTCTAGATTAATATCATGTTGATTTGCCAACTACTAATTAGTTGCTACATAAATATTAAGTCTAACTTTATGAATCATTGGCCATTTCTTTTTGATTAAAAATATTAAACAGATTCATTAAAAATCATCTCTACACAATTAACCGATTTCCATTTTGGAAAAAGTTATATTGTGTTGCCTCTTGTTATAAGCATACTTTCCTCTGCCTTATATATCATTTTTGCTTTGTTTTGTTTTCTTACCTGATCTTCATCTAATTTTTTGAGAGGCATGAGCTTTGGAGTCAGACCTAAGTTTGATTCCAGTTCTGGTACCTTCAGCTGTGTTACTGTCGAAAATTATTTACCCTCCTGAGCCTAAGTTTTTTTCTCTCTACAGTGAAACAATAATACATACATTCTATGATTGTAGGAAAATTAAAATGCTTATAGTAGCACTGGGTAAATTGCACATATTACTATCATTACTAAGAATAATAGCAAATACTTGTATAGTGCTTACAGGTCCCAAGATACGGTTTTAAGAGGCACATGTAAAATATACATGTATACATAAATATACACTTAATCCTTAATATAACTCTATGAGTTAGGTACTATTATTATCCCTGTTTTGCACACGAGGAAACTAAAATGCACAAAGGGATTAGATGGCTTGCCAGAGTCACCCAGGTGGTAAATGAAGTCGCTGGAATATAAACCAGGCAGTCTGGCTTCAGAATCTTCCCTCTTATCCATGTCACTGTAGATCCTTTAGATTATTATTGTTAAATCATTTTTTTGTCACTTAGTTTTTTACACATTAATGAGTTTTACTAGTTGATTATTTTGGAAGGGAACTTACTTTGGAAAAGTACTAAAAGTCACATTTATAGGCTCTTAGGATAACTGCTGGCCAGTGATTTCAAAACTAATTTCATTCAGCTGTTTTCTCCAGAGAGAAAATTCTTGTGAATAGGCACAGAAACACAGAAGGTCTATCCTGTACATTAGCTAAATTTGTGTCTTTAAAAAGTGTTACATAACTTAGGTTAGGTGATAGATTAACATTAGGGTATGTTTTTACTGTGTTGTGTCTATTAGACATTTGAAAACCTACATGCAATTTGCCTTTTAGTCATTAAATGTTTGCACATTTGAATGTGTTTTCTTTTGATTGTGAGACATTAAGATGTCGATTACGAGAGAAATTACATGTAATGCTTTTGCCTCATCGGTAATGTTAGCTCATTCATAGTTTAGTTTCCAGTGAATTCATTCATTGTAAAAATCATAATGAACCTGATTTTCTATTTGATACAGTTTAGTGGAAAGAACTCTGGAAGGGTTTGAAATCATGATTGTAATCTATGATTTCAGATCTGTGGATTATCTCTTTAAATAAAATATGAGACAGTTTATCTCAAAGAAGAACATTCATGTGACTTGAATCTGCCATTGAATTTAGATCCTTTGCCATGTTAGTCTTTCCCATCCCACAAAAGATAAGTCAACTAAAGTGAATTACTTTATTTTATAAACTAATTAACATTTGTTTACTATATTCTCTGTTTTATAGATTTGCTGTCATGAATCGAAAAGTCCTTGATGTTTTTGGTACTGATGCATCTAAACACTTTAAGGATTTCATCCCCAGGTTGGATCCAAGATACACAACAGTAACACCAGAGTTGCCCACAGAGTTTTCTTGAAGATGATTGTAATTTATTAATGTGACTAAATGTTTCCTAATTATCTTGGAGAGTTAATTATGTTGAACACAAAGAAGGGGGCCCAAGCTTGAACCTCAGTGTTATTTCAGTGAGAGATACTCTTTTCCTTTGTTTTGTTTTCCTTATGACTCAGAAATTCAGAAGCTTTTTAGGAAGGTGTTGCTTAATAATTAAGCTTCCTCCATAGCTAGAATAAGATTCTGGATCTACATAAGATTCTACACTGTAGTGATTGACATTATGATATATTATTGATCAAATTATGTCCACAAGCAATATTATATAATCTATGTAGAAGTTTAATAACAAGAGGACACTTAAAATTATTTTAAAAGGTGTCTTTAGTTCATTCCAATATAATTCTTGATTAAAACTAGGATTATTTCTACATTTTAGGATTTACAAAGGATCACGGGTACATGGATTTGGTCTGTATATTTTTTTAATGGTTGAATTGGTATCTGTAGTAGTGGAATGTTATAGATTTGAAGCAACTCTCCACGGACAGTGCTGCTTTCATGTGGAGCAATTTAATTGGAGAAGTGGCCATTCTTACTTCAGGGATGCAAAGATGGGTCTCATACCATTTGGATAAATGTCGTGGTATCCAGCTTGTTTTTAAACTAATAACATCATCTCTCTTCGTGACCAGTTAGTTGGGCTATTTGGCTGCTCAGTGAACCTGTGTACTGATGGCAATTAAGGGGCAAATGGAAATGGACACATCTGATAGAGTTGAAATGTATGTTTTAATCTTTTACAGGAGTATTACACTTGAATATTTAAAAACAAAACTTTTAAAGTTCCTATAGGTTTATTATGTTTGTTTTCATTTATATGGACATAATTCTTCATAGCACAGTTTATATGCCATTGTTATATTAGAAGGGATCAAAAGCCTATGGAACAAAGTCATCTTGCCAAGTTGGCAGTTTGTGTCCTCTCAGCTGTTTAGCTTATGTAATAGATGTTTTGCACCTGAAAACAATATAAAAATCCAGTGGTTGTTTAAAAAGTCCATTTTGTCACTAATTGGATTCCAGTTCTCCAGCCTTCTTTTTGAAAATCATTGTCACCATTTTTACTGTTAGCACAAAGAGGTTCTGCTGATAATTAGAAATTCAGGACAGCTGTGATTGAAATATGGTCACTATTTACAGTTTTTCAAGGAAAAGTTACACTTTTCTATGTTAATAAAAGACTGACGTCGTCTATAGTTGACGTAACATGTAGGGATGATGGTATTTTTAAAATATAATTTTGTCGCTAAAAAGTTTTTAGGCCAATGTGAATTATGCAGTAGAACTTGTGTTGCAAAAGGAATTATAACCCAGACTTTAAAAATGCTGAATCCCCATATTCAGTGTCATTAAGCCTTGTATACTTCTGTTTAAATGTAATTCAGTCCTTGGTTGTTATGGCAAATAGAAACCCAACGTAAAAACAGACTCTGGTACATGGTAATAGAACCACTTTTAATTCGGTCAAAATTTGGCATTATGATTAGCTTTTTAGAATTGACCTGTTCATTTGGCAATGCAGTTAAAGGATCATTTTGGTTTCAGACTTCAAAATTGATTAATAAATTTAATCTTCATTTTTATTCACTGGAATCAAAATGATGATTGGTACTGTTTACTGTATAAAATGAAGTATTAAAGCACTGCTAACTGCACCTCATTTGCTCAGTCCAGAAAGTATGTTTATATATTTTCCTGTCAGGTTAAAAAATATGTTTTAATTCATAAATTATTGTTTTCATTGACATTAAAAGACTCTGATATTAAAAGACGAATTACGAAATTTGCTGAGATTGTTTAGTAAAATGTTGCTGGTCAAAAAGGTGTATATCTACAATTTACTTTTTTGTTTTTTATAAATTGCAGTCATTTTAAAAATTTTATATAAAATGCAAAATGAAATAACTGTCGTGAAGCAGAATACAATGGTGAATGTATAGCTTGAGTGAATAGTTAACCAATTTGCAGTGGTGGGTTGAGAAGTCCAGTTTGATTTCACTGGGACAGACTGCAAAGTGTAGTTGTTTGAACAAACACAAAGACAATTTGTGTTTTTGAAGACAATCAGAATGATTACCTTTCTACCTCTAACTAATCAGGTATTGATTGATGACTTTTTGCCATTATAAATAAAGTTAAATAGATCCTGCATTCCAAAATATGTTTTTTAGTTTATTTATATCCTGAAGAAATAGTAAGTTTTCACTGGAACTGATTACAGTAAATAATAATATGTCCCCTTAGTCTTTCTGACATTTTTATGTAGATGGAGATTGAAAAACAGTGCATTTGGGGCAATATTATTATGGTCATTTCATTGCTATTTTCTGTATTAATAAAATCCTAGAACTAGTACCAACTGAGTGAAGATTGAGTTTGCAAGATGACAGATTGTCTCAGATCTATTCAATTCTTAACAGTTTTTCATTAGATAATTCCAGCGTCCATTTTATTACTCGTTTTTGAAGTAACACCTTTGGTTCATAAATTCTGCATTTGCTTCTGTAACTTTTTTCTTGAACTATAAATGTAGTCGTCACTCAGTTGATACCTAGTTTATATTTTGCCTTCATTTGTTGTTTAATCAGTTGTTATTTAATTTAGAATTTTATCTTTTTATTTTTTGCTCTCAGATTTTATAATGAACTTTTGTTAGAATGGACATGTCTTTTTTTTGATGGAATCCAAATTGAGCAAATGTCACACAGTATTTTCTTGCTGTGCTCAAGTTCATCTCCTTGTAGTTTGTATCTGGGCTAACATTTTATTTAGTTGTCAATGCTGATGGAATTGTTTCCTGCTTGTATTTTATCATATCTCTGAGCAGCTAAGTGTTCTACATTTCATAGGTAATGAAAATCAATGTCCTTTACTCTCAATGAGCTTTGTCCACTTGTCTGTGTCACAACTTCTACCTTGGTGCTAACTAGGAACTTCTTGTGGGGGCTGAAGGGAACTGACCACTGGAGCAATGGCCCAAGTGTTGTTTTTGGAGCAGAGAAATCATTAGCTCAGAGATTCTCCATGTGATTTATTCTTTATTTTTTGAGAGGGGGTCTCACTCTGTTCCCCAGGTTGGAGTACAGTGGTACAATCATAGCTCACTGAAACCTCAAATTCCTTGGCTCAAGCGGTCCTTTCCCCTCAGTCTCTAATAGCGGGGACAACAAGCATGTGTCACCATGCCTGGCTAATTAAAAACATTTTTTTTGTAGAAACAAGTTGTTGCTATGTTGTCCAGGTTGGTCTCGAACTCCTGGCCTCAAGAAATCCTCTTTGCTTGGCCTCCTAAGACTCTGGGATTCCAGTTGTGAGCCACCGTACCTAGCCATATTTTTATTTGTATGAGTAATAAGTTGTTTGACACAGCAACAGCGTTGCCCTTGGTTTCTCGAAGCCAAAAGTATACATTCCTTGCTAAGATATAAACATTCTCTCTCCTAACACCTTGACCTGTTGCTGCGTCTCCCCCGGTAATCATGTTCACATAGAGAATTTATTTACTTCGCACAGCTGAAAACAGTGACCAAGAAAAAATACAAGAAAAGGAATAACAAATGAATATTTTCTTTAGGGCTACACTTTGAATGTGATGAGTAATAAGGTTACCTTCATTGTGAAAGCGATGTTTACAGTTGCCTCAAGTCCTTTACTGTTGGTGCTAAAGCCACTGTTGCTGCCAGCTCTATCATTTCTTCTTAGCAAGGAATTAACAAAGAAAGGAGTGTCAAGGACAAAGATGACCCTGAGATTGGGGTGCTGTCTGGGATTCTAGGACTGTGTGGTACTGTTTCTGTTTAGTAGCCTCAGGTGCCTTTGTAGTTTCAAAATGGGTAACTATAAAGAAATGAAAATGACTCTGGTGTGTGACTTCTAGGAGCAGAAGAGGGTAGTAACTTGGCCATGATGTAGCTTGTGTCCTATGACTGTAGCAGGGTAGTGAGTGCATGGCCTTAAGCTTACAGCTATGGTAAATAAGAATGCGTGTGGTTTTACACACAGAGAAAAATGAGTGACTTTTGGTTGGAGGAAAGAATATCTGATCTTTGGAAATGATTCTGTTGTTGTTTTATGTGGTCTCTCTCTCTGTCTCTCTGTCTCTGTCTCTCTCTGTCTCTGTCTGTCTCTGTTTCTCTCTCTGTCTGTCTCTCTCTCTCTCTCGCTCTCTCTCGCTCGCTCTCGCTGTCGCTCTCGCTCTCGCTCTCGCTGCCCCCCGCCCCCAACCTTGTCCATTCTCTGCTTGCTGGTGTTACTTTATGCTAACTATTCTCCTTGGACTTCATTGCACCCTCTTACGCCAGCCGTTCAAATGAGGGGCTCTGGAGAGATCATAACAGTGATAACAATGGAGTAAACATTTCCAGGTACAGTGATTTTTTTGTATGCTCTGTATTTCTTAGGCAGGATGATGTAGAAGATAATTGCACAGATACGGAAAGATGTTTCTCTATGTGAGGCCTTTAAATCCAGAACAATTAATTTCTTCCCTTCTTAGAACCCCGTAACACCACTTGACTCTGGACTTTCCTATTTCCTTTTATTTTCTCCATTTTTTTTTCCATCTGTCCATCCTACGAATGTGTTTTACATGAAATAATGTATTGGGTTTTATCTTTTGTTGCAGCAGACGTGGAAATCCCAGTAATGACCACAGACACATGTACCATCTGGTCAACATCAGGGCCGTCAGGGCCAAGTGCAGTTCACACTTCTTTCTTTAGCTCACAAACTGCTGTAGCTTGCCTGTTCAGTTTTTTTTTTAAATAATGTTCAGTTTTGTGCCATACTCTCCCCAACCCCCAGCCTGCTGCCTCCACACAGCATAACATTCTAATCTTGTCAGACTGTGGGTTATAGGATGTTCCCTGGTCTTGGGATAGAGGCCACAGGCATATAACATGCCTTGCTCACACTCAGCATCCCTCTCTGTCTTGAGAGGTTTAGCCTTCCACAAAGTAGACCTGTAGACCTGTGTTGGCTGAAGTCACCCTGCATTACTACTTTCTTCCATCCCTGAACTTAGACCAGTTAATTTTGAAGTCTAGTTCCTCCATGTCTTAAACTTTTTTCAGTAGTTAGTTGATCTTTTAAATTAATTTTTTTTCAAATTATTTTTGGTCACCTAAGAGGACCCTGAAGCTATAGAGAAAGATTAGTGCCAAAGGTTTAACGCATGAAGTACATCCTGTGGTTTGTTATTATGGGATTGATGCCAAAAGGCATGGGAGAGAAGAGACTAGAAAGACATTTCAAGCCTCATCTCTTTTCTCCTAGTCCTTTCTTTACCTTCCCTGGCCTGTGCTTTCCTGCCATATCTTTGCTGTGTATTTCTTCATCTTGAGTTCTCAAGGGAAAAAAACAAAAGTACTCATTTTTCTGTTTATTTCAGGGAAAACTGAAGGTAGATAATATCTGCAGGAAGAAATAATCTTCAGGAAGAAATTCGTTTGCATCTAAATCTGAGTCTGCAGTTTTGGTAGCCTGTCATTTCTCAGGGATAGTACTAAGGCTCTCTTCAGACCCAAAAGGGCAGGATATATGAATCTGTAAAACTAGAGGCATAACTGAATCATCTGAGGATTTTTTTTTTCACTAGAAAAAAACATTCCTATAACTTGGATTAAAATTCAAAAATGGATTGCAGTCATTGTTAATTGCTCAACTCATAGCAATTTTTGCTTGCTGAGAGAACACTGATGTTTAAGAAAGTTACATGCCTAGCCCCAGGGCTGAATCATAATTGTTCTAGGCCTTTTGTGTCATTCCTTTCTTCTTGTCCAGATACTTTTCCAACCAGTAACATGGTCATGGCTGACTGCAGCCTCAGTGTCCCAGGCTGAAGTAATCCTTCCACCTCAGCTTTCCTAGTAGCTTGGGACTACAGGCACATGCCAACTTACCTAATTTTTTTTTTAGTAGAGACAGGGGTCTCACTGTGTTGCCTTGGCTGGTTTTAAATTCTTGGGCTAAAGCAGTTCTCCCTCCTCAGCCTCCCAAAGTGCTCCGATTATAGGAGTGAGCCATTGTGCCTGGCCTTATAAGTATCATTTTAAAAACATCAGTTTATTAACTATGTAGGAATAAATCTGAAAAGAGCCTGCAAAACAAAACATCCTTTAAACATGTTTAAGTAGATAAAATATCTGAAATTCTGGATTTTTTCAGTCACTTTGTTATTATTCTATGGCAGCCAAGTAATCCTTAACTTCAGTTGGATGAAATAAACTTTCTAAATCCAGCTTCGTCGAAGATTCCAACTTCTAGGTTATCTTCAGTCATTTGCCTTTTAACACTTTCCTTTAGGGTTAAGATGGCTATATGAATAGCATCTTAAGTTTCAGATCTTCATTGTATCTTCTCTCAAAGAAAGTTTTCCCATTCACACAGTTCTTTCCCATTGCTGTGGCATTAAAAAAAGCTCCCAGTGGATCTGCCTGAATAAATATGTCTGTCCCCCACAACCACAAATAAGTAGAAAGACTCCAAATGAACAAATACCACCTGATTGGGTGTATTCTTGCATCTCAGGAGCTAATTTCTGTACCAGCTGCGTTGTGGGAATGGACTCTTGGTAAACAAGATAGTATTGCTGAGCTAGCTTTTGAGCTCTATGCACAAGCACTCTGTAATCCGCACCCATGCCAATATACACCAAACCTGTGTGTTTGGCAGTTGGTTCCACTCTGTATACACTTTGCTCATCATTTAGAATAGATTTCTACTCTCCTCAGTTGCTAATACTATGCCATTGGTTGCTTTAATTCCCACTAAAAGGGCTTCTCCAGCTAGAGCAGCCAAAGTCTATTCAATATGGACAAATTTACTAGGCAGACTCAATGTAGTCAGTGAAAAGCTGTAACTATGTTCCTCCGTCTTTATCCAGATAACCCTTTTCTCATCTTTTATCTCTGTCCTAGTGCAGCAGTTTGCTGATACCCCTAATAAAGCACATTTCATTTGATTCTGATTCGCTATGTATTCACCTGTTGCTTTTTTAGTGTGGTATCATATTTGAAGAGCAAAGACCACAGCTTATCCTCCATCTGAGTATATGTCAGGCCTTTATTATAGGGAGTGGTGTTGGGATGGGAGGTGGTCTTCTCAGCAGCTGCCTGTTGGATGCCTGCTAACTTTATAGAGTCTGCAGACCAAAAATTCA